AGCTCAGTCTGGCTGTTGTGTGAACGGGCTGTGGAACGCGGCGTTTTCGTTGGGGCAGTGGTGGTGGTGGTTGCGCGAAGACGACGGCTCCCTCGCAGGGCAGCCATACGGGAGACTGGTGTTAGGACGGTCTTTTTGGCAAAGTCCACTGAAGATCTAGCCAACGGCAGGGGTACAATGCCCGAAGTGCAGCCACGAATTTGTTGAATTAGGGGTACACATTTTTCCCACAGTTCCCGGATGTCTGAGGGATTAAAATGACGGTTTACAGAGAAGTGTTCAATCATGCAGTTCAAATGAAAAGCTTAGTTGAATCGAGTTGAAAAGGCCATACTAAAGACGATGCTTCTTACTGCTCTGTAAAATATCCTTGAATCCCTGAAATTACTTACGGAATTTATAACTGAAATGGAGGAGCATGTACGTGTCTCGGGTTCTCGTTACAAGGAATAAGAACATGCGATCACCGAAAGCAAAATCGTACTAATCTAAGATTCCTGGATCGAACAGGAGCCCATTCCTGCGGCATGTACAAGAAGCCCAAGGCATTGATATTTTTGTGGGCTGACAACACAGTGGGAGAGGAAGGAGCCGCATGTCCATGACAATGGCTACAACCAGCTTTTCTGCTAGCCGCGGCCGCGGTTCGGTGTTTGGGTACGGTCTCCTGGCATTTAGTGTATCACGTCATCTGGCGGCGTAAACATTATCGGTGCTTCCGGGGAACTAGGCCTGTTTATGGAGTTGCTGCCAGGAAATCAGGACGCGTGGAGATAACGGGTCGGCGTATTGCTGGCTCGCGCCATTTTCTCTATGCCGAAGACACCCAATTCACGGTCTCCTTTCTGGTTTGGGGCAAGCGGATCATTTCTAGGAGCGGCCCATTTTGGTTCCGTATTAGTGAACTGTGTCGCCATGCTGTCTGATCTGCAAAAATGACAGGCTCAGTCCGTCACAGAGTATCTAACGTAAAAATGTCACGTGAAGCGCAGCTCAAAATAATATTCCAAACTAACTACTCATATTGTACAAGTAGGAATGTTTGTCTTCTATTCGGTTCATTTCAGTCGCATAGTCTACGTTGCTGCCGCCTGCGTCATTAGCCATTTTTCCCGGCATTCCTACATTTCGGACTTGGAATTAGCACTACCACGTTGCTTTTATCTACGGGACTCCTTAAAGTGGTATCGCGCGTCAGCCTTACCCTCAGAACGCACTTTTCTATAGTTAGTTTTTTTCCATAGAGCCCTCTACTAGACTGTAACCCAAAAGCCAAATGGGATTTCGCCATTCACTGCAATAGAGTAAAGTGAGGGTAATGATACAAATATAATTTAAAGCACAAAAGAACGATAACTCAAATAACTCGTGTCTTTATAGATTATCCTTTTAGATAAGCAAAATTCCTTGCATATTACCATAGTCAATTAATTTCAAGGAAAGGCGTCCTTTGAGAAAATGAATAAATTTATTAAGTAAATTTTCGAAACTGAATCCCCAGGTCGTCGTCAGACTTGATAAAAAATGTGCAAAGAACAGTTAACATTTCAAAGTGCTGATACAGTTATATAGTCATCTAGTATGGGCGCTAATTGGTAGTTACAATTTGCGTCACATCGTGGTGGACACAATTAACAGTCGCAATGGCTTAATGGCTAATTGGCAACTGTAATTTGAGTCAGTCCGGGGTCAGTCCAGGTCATCTGGTGTGGGTGCTAATTGCGGTTTAGTTTGGTCCATAGTTGTCGGCTGTAGTCGCTTCCACCTTTCTTTGAGATGTTTGTATGCTCCAGTCAACTCAATACGCCGATAGATGCATTAATCATTGGAGTGCAAGGCCTCAAGAAATTCTCGGCCTTTTTTGGAGGGGTGAACTCCGACGATGCGCGGTTTGTCCCATGCAAAGATATTTCCTGTGTCGAGGCAATGCATAGCCAATTCGGCCAAATGGTGACGTCTCTCCACTGTCAATTGGTGCTCGTGGATGCGTGTGGAGACGGATCTTTCTGCTTGGCCACAATATACCGTGTCACAAGCTTCACATGGGATTGCGTAGATGGCTTCTTTCTTATCGAGTCAGCCTTAGGATGTACGAGCTGGGTGCGTAAAGTGACCTGAAGGTGTGTGAAGTCGTTAAAAGACGCTTTCGGATACACCAAATAAAAGTGGCGCACAAACTGATGGCTACTTTACGCACCTACCTAGTACACCCTAAGGATAGTGTTGGCTACCTCAAGCAGTTTTTCCGATGGATTTACTGCCTGCTCGCGCATTATTTTCCCAGAAATAAACGAAGGTAGAGCAGAACTCAATAAACTGCAAATACCTTGAGATGGTAAAAGGCTCTTGCCAGGCGTCTTTTCCAACATAAAAATCCGCATTTGAAGACCATCAGCAATTTCTCGCCGTACTCTATCGTTCTCCTGCTCCAGAGAGGAACGTCTAGCTTCCAGGGTGTCGTCCGGTCTGGTCACGAGGTAGGCAGCTATAACAGGCTCCAGGACTTCGGGTGTTTCTTTCAACTTCTTAAAAAGTACTTCTATCCAGAGGAGTGCAAACTCCTGCACGGCGACCATTGAGGACGGGCCTGTCCTCAGGAGGGTCCAATCCCCAAACTGATAGGGTTGCCCCCTGCTCAACTCATAAAGGCATTGGGGAGCCGTCTGAAGTGAAGAAAAAACCAAGAATGGTATTCAGAGCAAAATTGCAGAAAAGTAACAAATTCAATAACGCATAGACGGATAAGAATTTCACACAAAGGGAAGTTTACCTTTCTTCTGCAGACGCTTCCGCCTGCAAACTACACAAATTGGATAGCTAAAAATATTGGGCTGATTTATAAACCTAATGTTTAGGAATATGAGTGTTTGTGAGAACAAAGCGGCCTGGTTAACTAAAGGCAAGACTAGATCGATCTCGAGTTCTATTCTCACACACCTTGTCGATACGAATAATCGAGTCGATACTAATGAAGATTTTCAAGTGTTCTAACGGACACCAGCTAACTTTTCCAAGGGCCTACGGCAACGGGTGCTTGCAACAGCCGAAACAGTGGCTATAGGCTATGGGGAAGTTTACCTTTTTCCTGCAGACGCTTCCTCCTGCAAACTCGATGCATCGAGTTGACGGTTAATTGCCCCCCTTCCCCCCCATTTATATGTTGCTTGGTTTCTTTCACGGTTAATTGGTCCCTTCCACCTATAAATGTTGCTTGCTTTCGTTGACGGTTTTATTTCTGACGATGGACTCCCGCAAGAGTTCGAAAGCTCATACAAATAAGACTACGATTCCGGTGATCGAAACTACTTGTTCTCAAATGGTGAATTGCTTTCGAGGCCGGAGGACAAAATAGACAGTTCAACCGTCGATTTCGACGATGCTCACCGTGTGCTCTACATCCTGGTACTGGTGCAGGCAGGATGACGTACTTGTGGGTTGGCTTTAAGTGGTAGAGTGATGGTCCCATAAAGGCCACGAGTGGCTGGTGTCTGGACCTGAACTAACGAATATCATCAACGCCCCCATCCCCACTAGCGTCCCTTTCAGTTGTAATAAACACTCGACTTGCCCCGAAACAGGTCGGCTTGTTGGTTTTTACAAGCAGTCCCTGACCAATTAGATTAGGACCGGTTGTAGCGTAAATTCTCATTCAGCGACGGTATTCACTCTCGTTTTTACAGTGCTGCAGACATGTTAGTTTGATCCTCGCTATGAAGCAGGATTTATGGTGCATATCGACATATATCCGACGAAAGGTATGGGTAGGGTGCTTTGAGGTCTGAATTGGACTAAAAAGAGCTGCTGTGCCAGTTTCCCTTCCAAGTGAGATCTAGTGTTCAGTTGATTTTCCTCCAAAACCGATTAAAGTTATATCTACAAGGTTTTTGCCTTAAAAGACTTTTTGAACAGTCGTGGAAAATTTTGGAATTGGTAATACTCAAGGTGGTAGAACACAGTGCATGCGAAAGGAGCTATACTAGTGGAATAGATAGACGGCTGGAAACATGTATGAATGATGATGAAAAACCGCATGAAGGGATCAAGTCATTGCCTTGTGCCTTAAGGGACCGGAATGTGGCTTCATATCGATTCAAATGAGAAACTGTAAAATCAGTGGCCCCAATCGGGCGCATGAACATTTATCTGTTCTTATGCGACCTTTCTTATTAGTCTTGGCATGATCAGCATGGTTACTGCATTTTGATTTAATTTTTCATTAGAAAAATAATGGCAAATGCGACAAATCATGTATATGTTGAATTACGCAAAAGCATCTCTAATAATACGCAAGACGTACTGGGCATTCACTTCCTCTAGAATATGGACCATCCATAACCTGAAAGGAACAAAGGCAAAAAATACGTGTTTTAATGAGCGAAGAGGCATATAGATGAGTCATGAAAACCTAAATTAACTGGACAATTACAAATGTGACCTTTCAAATATGGAAATAGGAAAATATATCAAAAACTAAGAAACCACTCACGAGCAATCCGGAGATAACTATAAAATAACACCTATACTCTCTTACAAATAGTATTCTTATTTATCCCTAAACGGTTACGTCAAACACACATCCACTGTTGTATGCTAAAGCACATGTAGCACAATGCCATCGAGCTCAATGGATGCAATATGCACGCATTTACTTTGAAAGACAACGAAATGAAAAGTCCCTTCTGATGGAAAAATAGATCGGATGACTTATATAACACTAGTATTGGCGCCGAATTCCAGAGATCACAAGGCTAGGTTCGTGGTTACGGTCAGGGTTAATGTTAGCGTTAACGTCAATTAGGGTACAGTTTCGCATAAAGAAAACGGTTCTTATTAACTGTAGGTTTACGGTTTAGGGTGATGTACGGATCAAGATAAGTCTCTTGTTCAAGCGATCGTATCTACAACACTCATTATCAGGTTTTTCGTGCTTCATTTTTTTCGTTTTGCTCCTCTTATCGTGATTTCATATTATCCAATATGTTGCTAGATGGCCTGCCGTAGATGTCGTTTCAGTCACAGGAGACTAGAGTGCTCTGATACATCCTAATTGCATAATGTAAGTGAACAGTTCCGATTTGGTTTGGAGTGGAGGATGTACAGACCGCATGAAGGTTAGCTAGCAAAAGTTGATGAGTGTTGTAGGCACAGACAAGGAGACGCAAATGGTTATTTTTGGCTTATTGAACGTCATCAATCAGGTGTACGTCCATTCTGGTTTGTGCGTCTGAGATTCGAACCTGCCTCATTTGATTCTCGAGCAAAGTCCTCATAACAGCAATTCCTCGACTAGATATATTCTACTAGGGGCAGATTAAAGGCAACCATGGTGTAGGTGCGAGGAAAATGATCTTTTTGATGCCACTTCCGGGATGCCACGACTGTGGTCTGTGTGAAAGACTGGGTCCTTCAGCAAGCTCTGTCCAACTTCTGTGCAGTGCAGTAAGTCGTGATCCTTGTATGCTGATTATCTTGAGGACGTTTCGTGTCTGCTAACCTCTTCACAATGTGTTGCGCCCTGTATAAACATCAGAGACATAAATAATGTGCTGGAGGTTGAGGGGTTACTGTATCTAATAGAAATCTTGGGCTAATGGATAGTTTCTCTCAATTAACGTGACAAGAATGAACTCGGTCGCCTAATTAGTCGGGTTCGTGCTTGCATCATCAAACTCTCGAGACCCGGAATCCGATAAGCCAGATGACCAAGCTGCAAGCACAAGAGGTCTCCAGCAAGACCTCAGTGCAATTGGCAACTATTAATTATCCAGATGTGCTTGATGAAGGAGGCTTGTTGTCCGTTCTTCAAACTCCTCTTTCCGGTTAAATCTCAAACGAACAGCATAACAATCCAGCCGTTAACATTGCTCTAGATATTTTTCGATCAGAAGTGTTAGGCCACGCTGCCATCGGGTTACGGGACTGACGTCTTATCATAACTAAGGGCTTTGTAGAAGCTGCAATTTTCCGACTGTAATGTCAATCCAATATTCGTGATATGCTGCACTTGCGTCATGCGGTCAGCGATCACAACAGCATTAATCTGCACAAATTTAGAACCCGAAGCAGTTTTCTGATTTCCTTTGGAGAAATTCCCCATAAGAAAAGCCACGTCAGCAAGCTGAATAACTTTTTTTTAGCGTTGTTCTTCAAATTCCAGAGTGCGACACCAACACCTCTGATATTAACGGCAGGATTTTAGAGTAACGGGGCTGATTTACAATGATCGTGTGATGGAGGGTCAGTATTTTAATCAACAAATTAGTAGCTACCGTGCAAGTTTAATTAGGCGGAAATTTCGGTATCTGTTACTTATGTCTTCGGTGTCACTGTTTAATGTATCGGTCAGTTTAATTAAATAAGCACGAGTGCCGATAATCGTTAAGCTTTGAAATAAATTCCTAAGACGTTCACTTAGTAACTTGCATCTAAGTTGGGTATTGGAATACTTAATGCAGCCTGATACTTACTGCTAGGCAGCAAAAAGTTATCTTTCAAATAGATATGTCTCCACTAAGTCCTTGGACACTTGATCAAAATAACTATTACTAAAATAAAGTCGATCTTCTCTGTTTCTCGACCAAATTTCAACTAAAAATATGATCATGTGTACTTTTTATTACTTGTGAGATAACGGAAGTTTTTAAAAGAACATGTACGATACATCAGTGAGATCTCATTCGGGAGGAATTTCAGTAATTCGTGCGGTTTGAGAAATGGAACTTATTTTCCGCATATACTTAGAGCCAAAAAATATTTCCTAGAGGCGATCCTTAAAGACAACTTTAGAAAATTTTTTGCGCTGTTATAGCTGCTTAGAAAAAAATAAACATATTGTAGACTGTAAGGCAAAACTTGTTTCCTTTCTATATTTAAGCAAGAGATCAATTAAAAGCTGAAATATACGCATCCTATCGATCGCAGCGATCAAGTATATTACTCAGGGAGGAATAGGTGTGACTAGACGTGAACTAGGTTATAGTGAGTGAGTCTTGCGTAGTATCGAGCTGCCTATCTTTTTATAGGCATATCCTTTTAAATGGCTGGAAACTAATACTGGTATCGTGGTCGATGTACGCCTGCCACAGTTCATGACCGAATCGAGTTTCTTATGTATGTTTACTGGCACTGGAAAGACAAGCTATCTGCGTTTGGCAAAATTTAGTCGGCCGTCGAGGCGATTTTCCTAGCGTAGACATTGAGCTCGTCAAGGGCTCAAGGAGAAGCAGATGGCAGTTGAGAGGTGGAATTTGTCAAAGTGGAATGACCACAATAAACATGAGGCACCGGGCCGACTTATAATCCATTTATGTACTTAGCCGTTAGCAAAGCTGTACTACTCGCGGCCCAGGTGGGATTCCAATCCACACAACAGGGGAGGCTTTTGCGCAAGCAGCGCTCTACCACTAAGCTACGAGGCTCACCGTGGGCCGTGAATATAATCAC